AGCCAAGATCAGGCCAGTGCACTCCAGTCTGGGTGAGCAGAGTAAGACTCCATCTCAAAAGAAAAAATAAAGAAAGAACAACCATCCAGCTGGGCACAGTGGCGCACACCTGTGTTCCCAGCTCAGTAGCTCTGGCAGAAGGCAGAAGGACCACTCAAACTTCAGCAGTTTGAGCAAGAGTTCTAGTCCAACCTCGGAAATATAACAAGACTGTGTCTTTAAATAATAATAATTATAACCATCAGAGGAAGAAATTTTAACATTCACAGCTTCCTCCCACTCCCCTTCCTCTGTCCTCTTTTCCTCCCCTACTGTATCTGCTCTTCTTCTTCTTTCTTGTCCTCTGCCCTTCTTTCCTGGCTTTTCCCACATCCATATCGGGTTAAAGTCAGAAGGACCTGGGCTCGAATCCTGGCTCCACTGTCTTCTTCTTGGATGACCTTGGTAAGCTGACTTCTTAACCTGTCTGAACCTGTTTCTTCACATACAAAAACAGGACAGTGCTCTTTAGCTAAGACAGTGGTCACGAGGATCAAATGGGATAATATGCATCAAACACCTGGCACATCGTATGTGCTTAGTAATGGAACATATTAATCCTTCATTTGATAAACATTTATTGAGCACCTGTTCTTTGGGGGCCTTGTGCTGAAGATACAGAAACAAAGGAGTACAATAAGGGATGTAGGCAAACAAATAAATTGCACTGAAGTATGGTATGAAATATTGAAATCTGAATAAAGTTATCAGAGGACAGGGATGCCCCTAGGCTGATGAGTCCTACATCACTAGAGGGATATAAGCAGACAGCATGGGTACTACTTTTTTTTTTTTTTTTTTTTTTGCTGCCTGGTGTCTGGGTATAAGGGTTTGGTGGAAGAGGGACCTCTGAGCTTCAGGTGGAGTTGACTCCACTCCCAGGTGGTAAGGATAGCAGTGCATGTGACTAAGCCTGGCCAATGGGAACTCACATCCCAAGGTCTTCGGAGGGACTTGACAAAGGTTTGGGGCTGCTGGCGGGCACCTTGCCTCCTTATAATACTGAGAATGAGGCTACTATGGAGGGAGCAGAGCTGAGGGATGTTCAGAGACCCACCCTTGATGACGTGGTTGGAACAGCTGGATTCAACCATACCTGAAGCCAAACTCTCCTTGGACTTTGATGTAAACTGAGCCCCTCAAAAAATCCCCCTTTGGTGTTCATCTAGATCAGCTTGAGTACCTTTCCACTATTCCCTGTGACCCAAAGAGTCCTGTGACTGACCATGAAGATGCTGAGGTGCTCAGTGAATGTTTGGTGGGAAGGGGGTATGGAAGGAGCTAGATGACCTCCAGAAGCCCTTCCCTTGAGAGAGGCTTTGAGTTGAGCATTGAAGGGCCTGAATTGCTGGTTGTTTGAGGGACAGCAGAACAGAGCGGGCAGTGCAGTGCCCCAGAGTTCCGCCGACTCCAGTTTCCATTCCGGGAGCACTTCCTGGTGCATTTAAATGTGCCCCTGTGTATGAGTGCCTTCAGGGGGTTCCAAAATAGCCTGAAATATAAACAGACTGAAAACCTACTCCTTCTCTTCCTCTCCCTGTTTTTCCTCTCTCCCGGGGTAGGGATGGGGGAAGCTGGTACCGGTGCTGCAGAAGCTCCATTTGGAGGATTTAGAAAACATTTCAAGTTCGGTCTCCTTCTTTCTAAGTCTGGCAAGCCCGCCTGCCTGGGGCACTTTTCCCCCTGAGTGCCAGGCCCAGGTGTGTGGGCAGGAAAAAGCAGCCCATTGTGTTCCAGCTTTGGGTCCTTCCGGTACTAGGACTTGGCCCCTGCCAGGCTTGGGTTCCCAAGGAAAAGAGGCAGGGAGTGCACTAGAGAAGTGGTGGGAGCTGGCACTTTCCTGCTGATGGAACAGATCCCGTCACGATAAAATTCCAGGCCACAACAATTTATTGAGCAACTACCCCTGGGAGCTACCCAGAGGGACAAAAATCAGGGAACAGAACATGCTTTAATCTGGGATTCAGGATGTTAGCCTGCCATGAACCTGGGGTAGCTGGTTCGAAAGCCAGCTCCCAGCAAACTCCCAAAATTCACACCATTGTGGGGCCCCTCCCCTGGACCTGCACAGGCTCCATGACTCACTTTTAACCAACAGAACGCAGCAGAAGGGATGCTGTGTGATTTCGGAGGGGAGGTCAGAATCCTTGCAGTCCCCGCTGTCTTTCTCAGAACACCCGCCCTGGGGTGCTCCCTCTAGGGGTCCAGCCACCCACTATGGGAAGCCCAAGACACAGGGAGAAATCACAGATAGTATTATGTGTTCCATAGTGTTTCCCCCATCCCACCCAAATTCATCTGTTGAAGTCTTAACCCTCAGCACCTCAGAATTTCCTAATCTAGGAATAAGGTTGTTGTAGATGTACTTAGTTAAGATGAGGTCATCCTGGAATAGGGTGGCTAATCCAATGTGACTGGTGTCCTTATAAATCGGGGAGATTTTGGGCACAGAGACATGCACATGTGGAGAATGCAATGTGAAAATACAGAGATGGGGGTGATGCTTCTACAATCCAGGAAATGCCAAAGATTGCCAGGAAACCATCAGAGCCTGGAAGGTTCTGCCTCACTTGGACTTTGATGTGAACTGAGTCCCTTAAAAAGTCTCCCTTTATTTTTCCTCTAGATCAGCTGGGATGCCTTTTATCTTTTGTGACTAGAGGAGTCCTATAACTGACAACAGAGATGCTGAGATGCTCAGTCAACGTTTGGTGGGAAGAGGGGACAAGAGGAGCTAGATGACCTCCAGGGGCCCCTCCTTCTGTCTGTAGGAGAGAGCCTGGAAGATTCTCCCTCACAGTCCTCAGAAGGAACCGACCCTGCTGACACCTGGACCTTGGACTTCCAGCCTCTGGAACTGTGAGACAGTGTGTGCTGAGTGATGACCTGACATCTCCTCCCCCTGTTTCAGAAATTTCAAAAATGTGGGTACCAGAGCAAAATTATTTGAAGGTTGACATCAGTCAACCTCCCAAATGGTTCAGACCAAGGTGTTCTTAGCCAATATGGGACATTCTTTTCTTGCTCAGGAAAAAAGCAAATGCGCCCTTAATTCAGTGATGCCAGAGTTGTTCTTTTGCGAGGATTAGGGTCAACGCATAGCAACAGAGGGCTACACACTCATCGTGTGAGACCAGACTGGCTTGGGTCTGGGGAAGAAAAAATCCATGCTTACTAAATGCAATGTGGGATCCTGGATTGAATCCTGGAATGGCAAAAGGGCATTCATTGAAAAATGGGTGAAACCTGAATAATCTATAGTTTAGTTAAGAGTAATGTACTGACGGTGATGTCTTAGTTTTGAGAAATGTGCCATGGTAATGCAAGATGCTCACATTAAGAGAAATGGAGTGAAAGGTATACAAGGACTCTCTGTACTATCTTTACAACTTTTCTGTAACTCTAAATGTTTTTCAGGATAAAATGTTTATTAAACAAAAAAAGCTAGCATTTGCAGTGATGAAATGTGTTTGTCTTTAGACAGGCCAAAGGGGAGTTGGCCAAATCCCTTGCTGATGAGGAGGTCATCTCAAAATCAAAAACCCTTCGCCCTCCCAGGTGACAAGTGGGGTAATAGTTGTTGTTTATAGGGTTATGTCAAAGACTAAATGAAATAAAACATGTAAAGGGCTTGGCATAGAGCAAGGAACATGGCAAGCATTCAATAATCATAAGCTGCTGTTGTTGTTTAGTAAAACCACTTCACTAACAGTATCCCCATGATGCCACATCGGCTGGTGTGAGGAGTTTAGAGCTCTGCCAGCCCACTGTGGTTTTGCTCGAACGCACTCTCAAATGTATGAGTTCTCTGTTGCTGAATAACAATATTACCATTAACTTAGTGCGTTTTTTTGCTTGTTTGTTTTTGAGACAGAGTCTTGCTTTGTCGTCCAGGCTAGAGTGCAGTGGCACAATCTCAGCTCACTGCAACCTCTACCTCCTGGGTTTAAGCGATTCTCATGCCTCAGCCTCCCAAGTAGCTGGGACTACAGGCACCTGCCACCACGCCTGGCTAATTTTTTTTTTTTTTTTTTTTTTTTTGATTTTTAGTAGAGACGAGGTTTCACCATGTTAGCCAGGATGGTCTTGATCTCCAGACCCTGTGATCGGCCTGCCTTGGCCTCCCAAAGTGCTGGGATTACAGGCATCAGCCACCGTGCCCAGGCAATTTAGTGCTTTTAAAACACATTTAGGCCAGGCACAGTGACTCACACTTGTAATCCCAGCACTTTGGGAGGCTGAGGCGGGTGGATCACTTGAAGTCAGGAGTTCGAGACCAGCCTGGCCAACATGATGAAACCCCATCTCTACTAAAATACAAAAAATTAACCAGGCGTGGTGATACACGCCTGTAATCCCAGCTACTCAGGAGGCTGAGGCATGAGAATCGCTTGAACCCAAAAGGTAGAGGTTGCAGTGAGCTGAGATTATGCCATGGCACTCTAGCCTGGGCAACAAAGTGAAACTCTATCTCAAAAAAATAAAAATAAATAAATTAAAAACGTTTATTATCTCACAGTTTCTGTGGGTCTGGAGTCTGGGCATGGTTTACCTGAGTCCTATGCAAAGCTGCAATTGACATGTCAGCCAAGGTCAAGGTCTCATCTGAAGGACCAACTGGAGAAGAATTCACTTCCAAGCTCATGTGGTTGTTGGCAGGGCTGAAGTCTTTTATAGTGCAACATCTCTCTCACCAAATGTGTAGGGGTTTTTTTTCCATACCACAATAACCAGTTCTCCAACTCTCCAGATCCCAACTAGGTGTCCAGTGATTCAATTCAAGTCTGACACTAACTACTGGGAGTTAACATCTGTCCCCACAGGTTAAGGGCTCGGTCTGGCAAGACTGCTTCCATTCAGGCACCAATTGCAAGTCCTGGGCTTCCTGTACTTCTCACCAACAAGCTATAAATCAGGAGTTCCCATGACCACCTCTCTATAATTTGCTAGAAAGACTCACAGAGGTGAGCAGTAACATGGCATCCAGGTCTAAGTGGCGGGCCGTGGAAAGTGGGGTTCTGCAGTCACCAGACCCCCTAGTCCAGTGTGATGACAAAGAGGAAGATGAAGTCGAGGATGAGGATGAAGACAATGACGACAGTGACGAGGAAGAGGATGAAGAGGATGACATCACTGACGAGAAAGTGAATATTGAATTTGAAGCTTACTCCCTATCAGATAATGATTATGATGGAATTAAGAAATTACTGCAGCAGCTTTTTCTAAAGGATCCTGTGAACACTGCAGAACTAACAGATCTCTTAATTCAACAGAACCATATTGTGAGTGTGATTAAGCAAAGGGATGTTTCAGAAGACAGCGAATATGATGTGGATGAAGATGAGGTTTTTGGTTTCATAAGCCTTTTAAATTTAACTGAAAGAAAGGGTACCCAGTGTGCTGAACAAATTCAAGAGTTGATTCTAAGCTTCTGTGAGAAAAACTGTGAAAAGAGCATGGTTGAACAGCTGGACAAGTTTTTAAATGACACCACCAAGCCTGTGGGCCTTCTCCTAAGTGAAAGATTCATTAATATCCCTCCACAGATCGCTCTGCCCATGTACCATCAGCTTCAGAAAGAACTGGCAAAGGCACACAGAACCAATAAACCATGTGGGAAGTGCTACTTTTACCTTCTGATTAGTAAGACATTTGTGGAAGCAGGAAAAAATAATTCCAAAAAAGAAACCTAGCAACAAAAAGAAAGCTGCGTTCATGTTTGCAAATGCAGAGGAAGAACTTTTCTATGAGAAGGCAATTCTGAAGTTCAACTACTCAGTGCAGGAGGAGAGCGACACTTGTCTGGAAGGCAAATGGTCTTTTGATGACGTACGGATGACACCCTTGCGAACTGTGATGTTAATTCCAGGCGACAAGATGAATGAAATCATGGATAAACTGAAAGAATATCTATTTAACCCATTTCCAATGGACAGTGATGGGCCTGTTTTTGTAACATTACCAGAAAACTCAGTGGAGATTTACTGAAAAACTCATGACTTTATTCAGATTAAGGTCCTCTACAAAAAGCAGGGTTCTGTCCCATGTGTCTGTGAGACATTTACAAAATATCAGTTTTTTAAAAGTTTGGTCAAATTATGAGTGGTTGATTTAAAAACTTTTCCAAGAAGAAGAAAAACATGGAGTAGAATTTAAAGAACTCAGTAAAAACTTCTATTTTTTATTTTTTTAAAAAAAAGACTCATAGCACTTGGGAAGGCACTTTACTTACTATTACTGGTTTATTATAAAGAATACAACTCGGCGACAGCCAAATGGAAGAGTTGCATAGGGCAGGGTGTGTCGTGGGAGGGTGCAGAGCCTCCGTGCCCTCTCAGTGTACCTCCCTGGCAGCACCTAAATGTGTTCACCAACCCAGATCTCCAAACCTGTTGTTTAGGGTGTTTATGGAGGTCCCATTATGTAGGCATGATTGATCAAATCATTGGCCATTGGTGATAAACTCAATCTCCAGCCCTCCTTTCTTCCCCAGAGCTCTGGGGGATAGGGCTGAAAGTTCCAACCTTCTCATCTTGCCTCAGTCTTTCTGGCAACCAGCCCCCACCCTGAAGCTATCTAGGGAACCCCAACCACCAGTCATCTCATCAGCACACAAAAGACATTCATCACTCCAGAGATTCCAAGGGTCTTAAAAGCTCTTACGCCAGGAACCAAGGACTATGACCAACTTTTATAACAACAGATGCTCCTATCATCCCATCATGCAGGAAATTATAAGCATTTTAGAAGCTCTGAGCCAGGAATCAGAGATGAAGAATAAATATATTTTTTTAATCTTCATCGTATCACAGCAGCATTCAGTTCCTTGTAGGTTGTCTTGCTAGTATTGGCTGTAGACCACCCTCAGTTCCTGGCCAAACGGGCCTCTCCGTGGGGCCGCTTACAGCATAGCAGCTGGCTGCAGCAAGCCAGTCAGGGACAGAGCCTACCAGCAAGAAGGAAGTTACAGTCTTACCAAACATCATCCCAGAAGCGACTTCCTGTCACCTTTGCTGGTTAGAAACAAGTCACAGATCCTCCCGAATTCAAGGGGAGGGGATGACACAAGGCATAATAGCAGGAGATAAAAGTAAAAATAAAAATAGGTAAAAATCACTGGGGATCATCTTTTTTTATTATTATTTTTTGTTTTTGTTTTTGTTTTTTTTGAGACAGGGTCTGTTGCCCAGGCTGGAGTGCCGTGGTGTGATCTCAGCTTACTGCAGCCTCAACCTCCTGGGCTCAAGCAATCCTCCCACCTCAGCCTCCTGAGTAGCTAGGACTACAGACACATGCACCACCACACCCAGCTAATTTTTAAAATTGTTGTAGAGACAGGGTCTTGCTCTGTTGCCCAGGCTGGTCTTGAACTCCTGGGCTCGGGTGATCTTCCCACCTCAGACTCCCAAAGTGCTGGGATTACAGACGTGAGCCACCATGCCTGTCCCCTAGGGAGGGACCATCTTAGAGTCCTCCAAGCCCAGAAGTGTTGAATCAAGGCCTGGCAGTTGATGAATGCACAGCTGCCTAGCACCATGCGTTAAAGGAAGCTGAAGAGGGGCTGAGGTATCCAGGGACATAGACAATAGTAGCTACTATTTACTGAGCACCTACTACATGCCAGATACTGTCCTAAGCACTTTGTAAATACTTGTTCATGGCTCTTTCAACAACTCTTTGAGAAAAGGTTATAAATACCTCTTTAGAGAAAAGGCCCAGTGAGGGTCAGAAAGATTAAGTGACTTGTCCAAGGTCACACAGCAGAGTGGTGGCAGAGCTCAGGCTGGGATTCAAGCCCAGGCAGCCTCACATCAAAGTCCTGGCTCTAAACCCTTATGGTGACTTGTCTGTGTCAGCTAGTTGAAAAAAAAAAAAAAAAGATTTGAATCAATGGCTGCTGAATCTGGACATTTCTCTAAAAATAAAAATAAAGGTCAGTCCCTGTCACATGAGAGAAAGATGAAAGAGCTGGGTGTGTTCAATTGGAGAAGAAAAGGAAAAAGGTCACTTTTGCTGACTTCAGAGCTCTGAGTGGCTGTTGCAGGAAAGAGCAGGGACACTTTTTCTGGATGGCTCAAAGGCAGAAATGGAGGGGCGGGGGCAAGCTCTGGGATCCGAGGGAGAACCGTGGACAGACCCCAGCCCAGGCAGCGTCTTTCCCCTTCGTGTGGAAGAAGAGACTCGAGCTTGTCCTTGCAGCTGAGCAAATATTTCTACTTCCCCGTTGCAGGCTGGAGTCGGCCTCTTCTCCAGCCAGCTCGGCGGGCCTTCAGAGCAGCGGCCTCGGGCCGTGGGGTGGAGGTCAGCTCGGCCACCCTGACCAGATGGGACCAGAGTGACGACTGCCAGGCCCAGGTCAAAGGGCTTTGCTGACATCCTGTCTCCTTCTGAGCCTCATCACCGTGACTGCAAGGAGCTGCAGAGTCCCCTTTTCCAGCCCATTCTCCATGCCACTGCTGAGTTGTCTTTCTAGAACTTAAAGCAGACCAGGTCACTCCCCTGCTCAAACCCTTCCATGGCTCCCTACTGCCCTCAGGATACATTTAACCTGGCCCAAAGGTCCCGCATGATGTGGCCCTGCTCACCTCTCAGGCCTTGCCTCCAACTGCTTCCCCCAAAAGTCCCATCCCACCTTTCAGGCCTCTGGAATGATATGCTGTTCCCAAGACACCAGACAATTCCAGGCCTCTGGGCTTACTTTGCCTGAGCTGCCCTTCTCCTGACAGTCTCCTATACATCCATCAAGACTCAATCCAAACATCACCTCCTCTGAGAAGCCTTCCCTGACTCCCTCCTATGGAGTTGCTTCCCCTTCCTGTACCACATTAAACCCAGGTCTCACAAAAGCTCACATTTGGCTGGGAGCAGTGGCTCATGCCTGTAATCCAGAACTTCAGGAGGCTGAGGTGGAAGGATCGTTTGAGCTCAGGAGTTCAAGACCAGCCTGGGCAACATAGTGAGATCCTGTCTCTATATAAAAATTAAATAATTAAAAAAAAAAAAAAAAAAAAACAGAAACTCACATTTCCTGAGCACTCACTCGGTGCTTCACATGCATGAGCTCACTCAGTCCTCCCTGCTGTTTCAGTTTCTCACCATCCTTATTTCCCAGATGGAGAGACAGGAACAGAGAGGTTGAGTGCTTTGTTCTAAGACACACAGCCAGTAAATGGCAAAGCCAGGACAGGAACCATTTGTGTCTGACTCCAGAATCGGTGCTTTTTAAATTTCATTGTTTATGTGTTTGAATAAAGTAAGCCATGCAAAAGATAACAAACAAACACAGGAGTGGCAGAGAGAGAAGAGAAGTGAGGGGAGCGGGGCGGGGGAGAGGAGGGGAGGGGAGGGGAGGTCTCCCCCACCCCACACCAGCGACATCAGCCAGAAAACTTTTTTGATGTGTTGAGAAACTGGGCCCAACAAAGCCTCCAGTTGCCCAAATGCCTGTGTAAAAGGTCCATCTTGCAGCGCAGAACAGAATCCCACAGAATCCCGCTGCCCAGGGAGCTCAGCACCAGAGCAGGGGCAGCTGCCACCTGCTTCTCCACGTTGGCCACAAGGCCAGACGTCCTGAAATGGCCTGGGGCGAGAGCACCAGCGAGGAGTGACTTCTTACACAAATGGAGAGCAGCTTTTTCGAGCTGGGTGTTATCCCACAGAGGAGCGCTGTGCTGGAGGAAGACACCAGCGCCAGGCAGGTCTAGGGGGTCACGCCCAAGAGAGCACCGGGGGACAGATTCCCAGGCATTTCTTAAACGACAAAAAAAGACCCTTCTTTTTTCTTATGGAATATTCCGCTGAAACCCACTAGGAAAAGCAAAGAGTAACAGTGGCTTGCGTGTGTTGAAGACTCACCACAGGCCAGCACTTGTGAAGCATTTTATAGCATACGTTCCTGGGATCCTCACTGCACCATTCAGAGGTCTCTCCATTCTCTTGTTACCAATGAGGAAACCGAGGTGCAGAGTGATATGTGACTTATCCAAGGTCTTATAGCTCATGCATGTTGGAGATGGGATCCAAGCCCAGGCAGCGTGGTTCCAGAGTGCATGCCTCTTAAATACTGTGCTAGGTAAAGCCACTCTGGTTAAAATAGGTGTGGGAGTAGGGAGGGGAGTGAGCCCTTGTACTCAACTGCCCCAACCCACTCTCACATCCTGACAGCCCAGGAGGGATCTCTGCAGACACCGCAGTTCGGAAGTCATTGTTGGACGGTTTCATGGCATCTCAAACCCACAAAACTGTTTATACCCTGGTTCTTCTCAGACAAATCCTGTGACTTGATTGATCCCACCCAGGTCACCCTTAAGGTCCGCAGGGCTCAGGCATAGAGATGACTGTGGGCACCAGGAGGGAGGATGATGGCAAGAAGAGTCCAGGCATGGGAGACAGAGAAGCGTGAGGTTCAAGCCCACCACAGCCTGGAATTAGCCAGGCCTCCCTCATCGTCAGCAGCCAAGTCAGCCCTGGCTGACATAAGCAGAGGGGAATGTACTAGAAGGAGCACAGGGGCTCTCTGAACTGACAGGAGGCTGGAGGAGTGAGCTCAGGAGAGGCAGGTCTCAGGGAGGCTCTGGAAGGACTGGAATGAGGGGAGCAGGAAGCTGCCTGTTGTGGGCACTTCTGGGACCTGAGCCCCCAGCCTGGTGCCTGGCTCTGAGTGGCGCTCCGGGGATAGCTGCCGAATGAATAAATCCACGGGCATCTGATGACAGGAAAAGGCCAATTAAGACATTGCTACAACCACCATAACAACAACAACAAATCCCCAGCCGTTGTTCCTTTTGACCTTGGATCAGCGCTCAAGATTCAAAGACTTAGCAGAGCACAGGCAGCTGGTCAAGTGGGAGTGTGCGCTGGAATGGGGGTGACGGAGGGGGACTGTGGCTCCCTCTATTCTCACAGAAGGAGAGGAGCCCCTAGAATTACCCCCATCGCCACCATCCCCACCGAGATGGCACACAGAGGGCATGGCCATTTGCCCCAAGGAATCCAGAAGCTGGACTCTGGCAACCAATCCAACAAATGTCTGCTGTAACAGCCTGCTCCTGTTGGTAGTGATAATCACACTGACATTGGCGCTACTATTTATGGGCATGAGGATATCCCAAGACTGTGCC